GGGGGGGGGGGGGAGTCCGAGGATGCAAAGCCGACCCCCCACCCTTGGCACGGAGTTCGGGGGGCGCTTAAGGGCCCCAAAAAATGGTATATTAAAGGGCGAAAGGTGTCATTTCATTAACTATGATTCAGCCAGTCAAAATTATAATTTCAAGCGGTGGCCATTGGTGTGTTTTTTTTTCAGGAATAGAAGGGGGGTCAGGACCCCTCTGACGCCCCTGTAAATCCGCCATTGACAGGTACATGTACCCGGCACATCCAGGTTTCAGTCAACTATAGATGTCATCTACGCTACATGTACTTAGACAAAATTTGTCTTCAACAATGCCATATGAAACACGCATTTTAAAAGTACGCATTAAATTGCGTGACCTAGATATATAGTGACATTTAATACATGTGGGTGAAGTTCAGATAAAGTGAAAATCTAGGTTCTATTGCACTGATCCAACTGAAAAGCCTTAAGTACTTTAGGCATATCAAAACTACCAGTATAAATTTATCACCTTCCCCGTTTACTTACGTGGTGCTTGAACTCACCTCTTGCAGACGTCTGCATCCTAAATAATATTGCAATTTAACTTAAATATATGATTTTCTCTGCTACCGGTACGCCAGTTCACCCTATTGTGGTTGATAAACACATCATACTTATTTTTGTAAACCATCGCTAGAGGGCGCTCAAGAACAGCAATCACAAGATTTATAACTGTAACCAAATTCCCATGTTTTGTCACACGAAGAAATAATTAAGCATGAACTTATTGGATTAAAAAACAAAAATGTGAACGTGATCAGCTTACTTGTGTAATAATAATAATAATAATAATAATAATTGACTTCTCAGTGACGTGATAAGAATCAATAAAACATCTATGTTTTCCTCACCTGACAGTTAAGACAATATTCACTCGGTTTCTTTTGTTTGCCAAGTTCCTGACCCATAATATTGTAAAATCATGCACCGTCACACGAAAGCGTCTACGGGAATAGGAATAAATCAGCCCATCAAGAGTAAAATGAAACCATTTCAAGCCGCAAATTCCCTTCAACAACGGCTTTTGTCATTTTTTATAATAAAATTATTTGTTAACCTTTTCTGATCACCTTATTTGATCATGGTTCTTCCAATACTTCTGAATTTAGTTAATTTCATCACTTTTATTAAACATAAATGTATTGAAAATTAATTTGGATATCAATTCCAATTCAATGCGTGCATGTATGTATGACTAAGTGCAAGTACAGTAGAAATTACATGTGTACAGTAGAATGAGAATTCAGTTGCAAACTAAATACAATGTGATTGTTTTGTGAAACCCACTTCAAAATGGTAGCCTCAAACGTTGCAACTATTTCACATTATTAAAAGCGAGCGTGAATTCCAAATAACGCATTTACGAATAATTTTAAACCACCTTTGCTTTATTCTTCTACAGCTAAAATAAAGTCGACATGTCAAGTCATAATCCAATTTAACCCCTCGTTCAGCCAAAAAGTAGCTTTCAAACTGTACCTTCAATCAATTTCTGGTCGAAAATTGACCAATTTACCTGTCCATCCAGTTTGTAAAATTCTGCTAAATGACGCAGCTCTGCGCGCCCACTGCAGCTGCATAATCACCACTCTAATGTACCCTCTGCATGGGCGGCGGATATTATAGGTTCATTTCCGCATTTCCAGTTAGGAGATTGACGATATTTAACCAAAGACATTATATGTGAATATCTAGTGTTAAATCAATCTGTGGCCTTGGTAGAGGGTAACTTTAATGGATGTATGGATGCACATTGTAACTGCATACTTGTTCACATGGATTTCTCAAAAACAGCATAGCACAGAAAGAAAGCAGAATACTGGATATACTGCCTGGTGTTACCGTGTACCAGGGCGACAGATTGATTTTCCACAGATATTCACATATATTTCTCTAGATAAATAGACAGTCATTTTGGTCTGATGTCGATTCAGCCAAAAATGTCGACAATAATAACTGAGACCCTGGTAGAGGGTGGCCTGATGTAATATGAAGTCCAGTAGCTTGGAGAGATCTAGTTTATAAAACCCCTTGTCTTGGCACTTGCTCCAACCAAGGTACGAGTCCCTCGAATATGACAACCAATACAAAAGAATAATACCCAAATAGGTATCTTGTTACTAGCATCTCTTTCTAATTAGATACCAAACAAGTTTATCTACAGCGGGCCCTCCCTGGGCTGAACGAGAATCTCGTTGACGGCCACGTGATCTGGCGTCGTGACTGCGTAGAGGACTGTCTGGGCGATGACTTCAGGTTCCAGAACTGGGTAAGGGAAAGGGTAAGTGTACAGCTGTTTACACTGAAATGATAATAATATATTTTTGCACTCTCCAGATCACTGGTTTTTATAATGAAACTTTCAAAGAGAATTTGCTTCATTTTTTCTGCAAACAAAACCTTCGCGGAAGTAAATGCCGGCCGAAATGCCTTTTCGATATTCAGACCTCACAAAAAAGAATCGCCGTTAGTGATTTCGAACCACGGGCTTGTAAATCAACTACTTAACCAACATNCGTAAAATTAATAACACAGCTTGACTCACCTCATCTCAGTAGTGTGAATGAAGAGCTAAACTGTACATACCACTGAACATTTTCTCCCTAGTCGAAGAATCTTAGTAAAGAAGACTGAATATATACCTTAAAACATTAATAATAGAAATAAGTAAGACAGATGATAATAATTCTTAACATATATCTATATGCAGCCACATTCATGCTAATTTTGCTAGGCAGTTTGCTTATGAGTTATTGTTCATATTATTTTTAATTAGTCCTTTAACTTTTTCTTAGTTTAAGTTTTTCGTCCAAGTTATCACAAATGTCAATTTTCATCCTGTGACCATTTCCATTTTTCAGCTGACAGAAAACGTTACAATTAAAAAACCAGGCTCTTTCTACCTCCTCATACTGTTTGAGCTTGTTTAGGAGAGTCAAGTTTTTCAAGGTTATATCGTCAAACAGGCGCACACCAGACTGCAGTTCTTTCTTTTTCCTCATGATTGTTTTTTTAATCTCAGTGTTTTTTAGTTTTATAATCACTGGTTTCTCCTGCCCCTGTTTGCCAGGTATACGGTGGATCGCTGTGATGTCCGTGGTAGGGATTTCAAGCTTCACCTCCTTTTTCAATAAGTTGGTAAACACCACACGGAGATTTTCATCCTTCTGTTCTGGCAAATTGATCACCCGTATGTTTGTTTTTCTGGAGTATTGTTCATTATGATTACTAAGGCGAACGGCTTCTTTTGTAAAGTATTCATTTTGTTTTAGTCTTTCATTTAGATCTTTGGTCTCCCTATCTTTACCTCTTAGAACCTCTTTCAAATTATTGTTTTCCATCATGAGGCTATCAACCTGCTCTTGTAATTTTGCAGAGCGGTTTTCAGCCTCAACTTTTTGTTGAAACCTTGCTTCTAAATCAGACAACATGTGTTTTATTTCTGCTTGGAAGTTGTGAAGAAGCTTGTTCATTACACTAGAGACTGTTTTTTCCAGATAATCTTTTTTAATGGTTTCCTGAATTTCGCTTTTTATTTCAGATAGTTCATTCATTAGTAAGTGTATTTCATCGGAGCTTGAATTGGCCACCTCAGAATGTGGTCTTTTTGGCTTCCCACCTGTTGTGTGTGATTTATTGTTTGCTTTCTCGCTGTCACATGTGAGGAACCTTGACATTGTTCTATTTTCTGCTTTACTATGCTTAGATGCCATAGCCTTCTCACACAATGCAATGGTACTCCTTACAACTTTGATTGGTTAATTATGAATCTCTTATTATGTGGATGCCTGTTATTACCAGGTGTTTATAGCCAAAGGCCTGGATGGTAACTGAGTAGATCTGAGTAGTGTTCACTTCTCACTGAGTCTCCATTATACTTATGTCCAGCTTTCAGTTTTATCAAAGATAGTCAAAAAACATACTTGCCAACTTTGGAGTCTCAGATTTTTAGCACCTCTGTTTTCTTTCAACATTCATGAACATCACTGCCGATTTTCAGGGTCTCTGGATCTACATATCACATGAAATTTGCCACAAAGTAGAGAGCCACTTTCCTTTTGAACTTCCCTCTTTGATAGCGACCTTGACCCCCCACTTAACCAACATTTGATGGAATTCGTTTTTAAAATATTCTGTTTGTTACTATTTATACTTGGAATTTCCGAAAGCTTGACGTGCAGTTTCCGTACGTAAACAGCGAGAGACCTGAACAAATCGTTCGCAATAAATATTGCGGGGCTCGCAGCAAGTATTTTGACGTTAACGTTCGCACAATCAAATCGTAGTTTAAGTCTTTACTTCGGCGTTCACAATCACAAACCCGCGCCTCGCAATTCCAAACGACCAATTCATCTACAGTAAAAGGCCAGACACTGTAAAACCGACACTCTGAATATGCACGGTGCGCGATATTTTAGTTCGTCGGTTTTCTGAAGCCTTTAATTGTGCCATGTTTTGTGTACATGTAGTACACCTGCTGCTTCAGTTCTCTTAATCCTGTCATGCTTTACACTATAAACAATGCAACCTCTGAGGAAACTTATAAATATACGTGTAGCACAGTTACTGGTTATATAACAAATGCATTCACGTGTAACCCTTAATTTGATTTGGCAATAAATTTATGTAGTACGTCATGAAGACCAATTATCAATTTTTACTTTAAAGGTGCAATAAGAGATCTACTGGACATTGAATGTCTTTAGGTTTTACCTGCTCATCGTCCATTGTCGTCAAAGTCGTGGCTAAACCGGGCGTTTCAACATCACCAGGCTGAATACAAGTGACACGAACACCATCCTTGCAAACTTCCTGACGAAGCGTCCGTGACATCCCCTCTACGAAGAACTTCGACCCCGTGTATACGGCGAACCCTACGGCAGGCTGAAATGTCATAGGACCATAAGGCGTATAGAATGACTCTATGTGTATATAAACTGAATCAGCGCAATGTCAGATTCAAGTATGCAAAACTCAATTTTAATGAAATTAAGTAATTAAGTGAGTACTATATTTTGTGACTTCAGAGTATACGTCACTGTATTTTTTAGAAAAAAAAAAAAAAAAAACAAAGATGAATTTTTGTAAAAACTGTACACGGAGAACCCTACAAAAGCCTGGAATGCCAAAGTAATTCATGCAATGAATTAATGTGCACTTAAAGTTAAACAGAATTAAATGAAATAGATTTGATTTGATGTGCAGAATAGGGGACGTAATCTTGAACAAACTGAATCGAGGTCTTCCACTCTCATTCTTCATACAGAAGAGAGGGATGACAATTTTAATTGGTTAAAACAATTACCTTCATTCCATTTTCTGATGACATGTTGACAATATGACCTCTTTTCCTTTCACACATCCCTGAAATCACAGCTCCAATGCAGTTCAACACTCCCTGTAGAAGAAGATTCTCAAGATTCTTTTTAAGGTATATCTTGAAGGTGTTTAAACAAATTTGAGAATGCCCCAACGCCACATTTTTGTCTAAATGGCCTAAAATACATGTCTACAGGTGTATCTTTCCAAATCCAGACCTTCAAATGAGACCACACCTCTAAATAAATAAATAAATAAATAAATAAATAAATAAATAAATAAATAAAACTAACTACTGGATCAGAGAGGCGATACGGCCTCTGGGTATTGTACCACCAGTTGGAGTACGTGCATTCGTATGGAAAACAAAAAAAGGGGACATCACCTCAAGTGCTGTGTTTGACACGCTCTACAAAATCAGGCCTTCCCAACTACCAGACTCGGAACCGAATGATCCTGAATTCACCGGTATATCGTACCACACTGCCAGTTTTCAAGGTATGCGTCAGTACGCTCTTCGATGTATCAGACGCGACACCGCTCTTGCCCAGTATGCGATGTGATAGTAATGATTCACAGCGGGGTTGAAATGTAGTGCATCTCAACTCAAAATTTGTGTAACATGAAAATCTGACTCCCATGAAAATCTGACTCCCCCAGTCAAAATTTCATTATGAAAATCTGACTCCCCCCCCCCCCATGGAATTTTGACTCCCCTTTACAAAACTTAATAAACCTTATTTTATTTGAGTACATAACTTTTATCTCCTAGTATGCATAATGGAGGATACATTGACACTTTTTGAAAATTTTCATGAGAAAATAAGAAAATCAAAAATGTGTATTTATCCACCCAATAACTCCTATGAAAAGGCTATGGGAGTCTAAATCCTACAGATAATAACATGAATACTTGTTTCAAAAATGATCAATTTTCACCAAAATTTTCATCATCAAACTTTTAAATACTAACAAAATATATGTCGCTATGTAAACCATGTGGAAAACAGTGGTATGGTGACTAAATATAAAACAGGGCCTTTTCTTCATGGGAGTCCAAATCCCACGGGTATGAATATGAAGATTTTTCATGATTTTTTTTTCATTTTTTGCACCCAATATTTTACCATCAAACTTTCAAATATTTCCAATATGTTATTCATAAAGTATACTTAAAGAAAAGATGTTGAAATGATCACCAGATATCAAATAAATAGCTTTTTCATAAGGGAGTCATTGAGTGGTAAAATACACATTTTAAAATTTATTTTCTCATTAAAATTTTCACCTGCAACCTACAAAAACGTGTCAATGTATCTTTCATAATGCATACTACAATATAAAAGTCATATACTCAAATAAAATAAGATTTATAAAGTTTTGTAAGGGAGAGTCAAAATTTCATGGGGGGAGTCACATTTTCATTATGAAAATTTGACACTTTGATATAGCGCAACTCGTAACCGTATGGAAAACAAAAAAGGGGACAGCACTATGAGTGTTGCGCTTGATAAGCTCTATAAACTGTAAAAAACAAGAGGCCTCTTGCATTTACGGTTACAAAATTAGAGAGAGTTTTCAGTTTCGGCGTCTAATGACTGCCTCTCCCGTGAAAATGCACCGGTTGACCCAAACTCACGAAGATGAAAGATGACGCTAAATGCAACATCTGCTCTAAATGTAACACCAGCCCATAATACTATACATGTAGGTTAGGTCTGTAACGTTTCTGAAAATCAGCATTCCCATTTTTAGAAAATTTTGGCCCGTTTGAGATTGAAATAAAGGTCAAATCCAAGGGCACATTTAAAATCTCCACATATGACTTTCGGTCAGCCATCTATAGAAAGTTTCCGTTAATTCCTTTGGTTTGGGAGATATTTAGCATTTAATTTTGCAAATTTTGGACAAGGGTCTTAGACTTGTGCACCGACAATCCTCAAAATTTACGTGGATCGAGTTGAGATAATATGTGACCTAAATGCAAGAGATGGGTACGCAGGCTCTTGTAGCCTAAAAGGAGCAGCGGTAACGGTGACGTGGTGGACGAGATGGGTTGGGACTAAAACCATGTGTACCGCCAGCGCCGCGCTAGTGGTACAATAATAACAACAGAAGTCGATGTTGGCTTTTCCTTCTGTGAGAAGCCAGGAAGACGCATGGCATTTTAAATAAACAATTCGCTGAGAACAATTTGGTTTAATTGAAATGGTACAAAACAACCAATCCCAGTCCAAACTTAAGGATTGCCGATAATTGCTGAATACCAGTACACTTTGGGAACCACAGTGGCCCTACCTTGATGTTCACATCCACTTGCTGATCCCACTCCTCCTCATGAAGGTTCTTCATACACCTTATCACCCAGATACCCGCGTTATTCACCAAGATATCTACAGGCCCCAGGGTGCTCTCTGTGTGCTGAATAAGCTCCTTCACCTATGCGGAGATATTTAGAATTGTACTCTTTTTTGCTTGGTTTTAAGACCATTATTATCAATGTATAAGTATAGTCCTGACATGTAAAGAACCACGTTGCTTCCACTTTGAAGAACACGGAGATGCCGCATATAACTCGCCGCCCTTCACTTAAATTATCGTTAATCCCGAACAAATCATTTTCTTTGTTTCATTTCCTGCAATTATATAAATATTGCCTTACGCCAATCTTACCGTAGCTCAAAAAATGTCGTGTCCCAATTCATAATACATCTTATTCACACACAATCACACCCTTTTTACCTCAGCTCTGTTTGTGACATCACATTTCACTGCTAGAGCTACGCCCCCTTCCTTTGAAATATCATCCTGGATTTCTTTTAACAAGTTCACCCGCCTTGCTGCCATGGCAACCTTGGCACCAGCAGCAGCCAGTTGACGAGAGATGGCAGCACCAATGCCACAAGAGGCCCCTGTTACCACGGCAACCTTTCCAGAAAGAGGTTTATAATCTGTAAAATGAATTATATTTTCTGTTGAATGAATAGAACTTATTTTATTAGACCTTGTCCACCCTATCAATATCGGTAAAACGCAGCCTTGCAGAAGCTTCGTTTTGCGATTGTTACTTCCAGATATCCTTCCGGTGACACTTCCATTGAACTGTCTGAATATCATGCAACCAGGGAATTATAATTCCCTGATGCAACTCAGCTCAACAGCAAGGAGTTTAAGTTCCAAGACGGAAGTACGTTGAATTTTGATATATTTAGCATTAAATGAAGTATAGCACAGGTGCTGAGCTTACGCATCCCCCGATTTAGTGAACACTAAAGAAATAGGGAGCATAAGTCTGATCAGCACCTGTGCTATATTTCATGCGCAAATTTTGACAAAGAAGGCCAATGTCGCTGTTCATATTATTCTTAATGTTCTGTGTGCAAATGAGTGAAAAATGCCAAAATTATCAAAATACGCAACGTACTTTGGTCTTGGGAGGTCAACCCCCTTGAGCTTTCATAAGTCTGATAAACGTACATGTCGTCACGAACGCACACATGCACACAAATATACACATACATGTACCGGGTGCACACGTGCATTTCTTTTCAAGTTGTCCCTTTATGCCAACCCCGTAGCTATGGTACATCGCCGGTATATTATATAGTATATTATATATCATAGAGCATCAGAGATGAGTAGGCCTACACTACAGCGTTAGCAACGCGTGGGATGATCCCGGACCCCCCCCCCTCCCTCAAACCCAGCTCCCATTGGTCGGAATGCTTCGAGGTGACGTGCATTTACATGTTTACAGGTACATCCAGGTTTCAGTCAACTATAGATGCCATCAACATGTACTCAGACAAAATGTCTTCAACAATGCAATATGATACACCCATTTTAAAAACACGCATGACTTTGTGTGACCTAGATATAGCGACATTTAATAGACGTGCAGTTCAGGCATTGTGAAAATCTAGGTTCTGTTGCACTGATCCCACTGAAAGCACCTTATGTACTGTAGGCATATCAAAACTACCAGTATAAATTTATCACCTTCCCCGTTTACTTAGATGGTGCTTGAACTCACCTCTTGCAGACGACTGCATCCCAAGGAGTACTTTAAGTTAACTTAAATGTACGATTTTCTCTGCTAAAATGCAATGCTACATGTACATGTACGTACTTCCCAGGTCACCCTGTTGGGGCTGATAAACACATCATGCATTGCTTGTAAATCATCGCTAGAGGGCGCCGAAGAACAGCAATCACAAGTAATAAAACTGTAACCAAATTCCCATGTTTTGTCACAGCGTGAACTTATTAGATTAAAAAACAACAATGTAAACGTGATCAGCTTACTTGTATAATAATAATAATAATAATAATAATAATAATAATAATAATTGGAATCTCAGTCTAATGATATGATAAAAATAAATAAAGCATCCATGTTTTCCTCACCTGATAGTTAAGATAATATTCATTCGGTTTCTTTGTTTGTAAGTTCCTGACTCATGATATTGTAAAATCATGCAGACTCACACATAAGGGTCGGGGTGGTGGGGTGGTTTTGGTGGTGGTGGTGGTGGTGGGAGGGGGTATACTAATATTTATAAATGGCCAAGTTCAAGTTCAACGGAAATTAATAACGAAACATTTTAAAATGATCGATTTTCTTTATATCAACAACTGTCGATTTTTCCTGGTACTTCCACTAATGCTCATAAAATATACAGATACCACACCACGTCCTGTTCTGCTAGGACTGTTTTAACCCAAATGTAAGCATATACTCGTACATAGTCATAGCATTTACCAGATCACCAAAATAGCGAGCCACAGTGTTGTCAAGAGCGCAATAAAAAGAAAAAAGTTCTTTTCAATCAATGCATATCTTGTTCCCACTTTCAAGGATCCACATTCGAATAATTTGCGTCTTAAATGCCGATAATTATCAACGTTTGTTTACAATCCATTAAATTGAATGGGACTGGGGATAAATCGGCCCATCAAGAGTAAAACCAAACCCTTTCAAGCCGCTGTCAGTTGGCAAATTTCTTTCAACAACGGCTTATGTCATTTTTTATAGTAAAATTATTTGTTAACCTTTTCTGATCACCTTATTTGATCATGGTTCTTCCAATACTTCTGAATTTAGTTCATTTCCTCACTTTTATTAAACATAAATGTATTGAAAATTAATTTGGATATCAATTTCAATTTTAAAATACGTGCATGTATGTAGAAATACAAGTACTGTAGTAAATTACATGTGTATCGTAGAATGAGAATTCAGTTACAAACTGAAAGCGATGGGATTGTTTTATGCAACATACTTTGAAATGGCATATCAGACGCAAACGTAGCAGCTACTTCACATTATTTTTTCGGTAATTCATGAGATAAAACCTGGCAAAGAAGCAAATAACCCTCGATATGAAGACCAACCGAATCAGCGAAAATAAGTTATGAGAAACTAGATTGAAATGTACCTATGTGGGGAAAATAAACGAAAAATAAAAAAGGTCCAAAACCAATGAAACTAATATGTTTCTTTAGTCTACCGGAAATATACCATCCATACTGCTTATTAATACGGGGGTAATGCGCTGTAGACAATCCCCGGCACGTACGAAAACTGCCGAACGGATTAAAGGTTTGTGGATTGAAACATATTGCAAGTAGCCAGTAATCTCGCATTCATACCATGAAATCGTGGTTTGAGCCACACATTTGGGCCTGTGTGCCACATATCTTAGGCTTGAGTTCGAAAACGCACAATTCGTTATAAAGTCTGATATTACCTGAGCGCTCTTAGTAGGGCACTATTGACAAAACGCTTTCCCGGAGGTCTTAAGAAGAGGATGTGTGTTAAGCCACTTATATTTTACCTTGTCTTTACGATAAAGTTTCATATTAAGCGAGTGTGAATTCCAAATAATTTTAAAACACCTTTTCTTTATTTAATTTTATTAGAAAAGCAGAAGACTCCCAGCAGGCATAGTGACGTTAGATCAACGTTGAAAACAGGTTTGGACGTTGAATTGCCGTTGATCTACCTAAATTCAACGTAAAATCAACGTTGATCCAGCAAATTAAAAACACCGTCATAATGTGACGTTGACTCAACGTTGTATTTTGGTCATTGACTCAACGTTGTTGTTTGGTCGTCGTGATGCAAGACATGGATTGTAATTTAAAATATTAATTATTGAAAACGTGATACTATGTTTATCAATACTGTAGCGAACTTTGTCAAAATATTAAAAAAAGGTGCTTTAAAGTAAAAGAGACAACTTTATTTTGTGTCTTTAGTGAACTAGTGAATTTTTTAAACTTGTTATTCAGAAATACATTCCAATACACTTCCTGGCAAGGTCAGCTAACACTAAGATGAATTAGTCGCTGTAAATGTGATGGAGTGAAGTTAACAATGTTGACAGTTCAGGGTACCCTGTTATAGATAGACAGGTTGAGGTGACCGTAACTTTCTTATATATATATATATATATATATATATATATATATATATATATATATATATATTTTTTTTTTTTTTTTTTTCATGCAAGAATGTTGTCTAACAACTGGGGTTGATACAATGTTGTTATCTGACGTTGATCCAACTTTCAAATCCAACGTTTATCCAACGTCTTATCAATGTTATGGTTCAATGTTGTTTAAACGTTAAAACAACATAAGTTGCCTGCTGGGCTGACAATTTTAAATCACTTCTAAAGGCCCACATTTTTAAATCTATATATATCTCTTAGATTTTTTAAATATAGATTTTAATAAGATTAGCAGTGTTAATTTTAAATGGTTTCCAATGAGTGTTTTAGATTTAAATATTGTCGTTATTTTAATGATTTTAGTTATATTATCCATCATTGTAAGGCGCCTTGAGGTAGCATGTTAGGCGCCTTATAAAAAGCTTCTTCTTCTTCTTCTTCTTCTTCTTATTATTAGTAGTAGTAGTAGTATCATTATAGAGCTAAAATAAAGTCGACATGCCAAGTCATAATCCAATGTAACCCCTCGTTCAGCCCAAAAGGAGCTTTCAAACTGTACCTTCATCACAATTCTGGTCGAAAATTGACCAATTTACCTGTCCATCCAGTTTGTAAAATTCTGCTAAATGACGCAGTATTGCGCGCGCACTGCAGCTGCATTATAATCACCAATCTGAGGCCCGTAGCCAGGGGGGGGGGGGGGGGGGTTCAAAAGAATCGCCCTTTTTGCTGGGAAAGGTCCACTCTGGGGGTAAAATTTGATCTAGGTACATTTTTTCAGAAAAAGAACCCTCCTTTTGAAAATGCTGGCTGCGGGCCTGACTCTAATGTACCCTCTGCCAGGGTGGCGGATATTATAGGCACAATTTTCATATTTCCAGTTAGGAGATTGACGATATTTAACCAGAGACATAATCTGTGAATATCTAGTGAAAATTCTATCTATGGCCCTGGTAATGCATGGGTGCAAATTGTAGCTGCGCGCGCAACAGCATACTTGTTCAAATGGATCTCCCAAAAAGATCAAGGGTTTAAAATAGCACAAAAAGAAAGCAGAATAATGTACAGGGGTATATACTGCCTGATGTAATGTGAAGTCCAGTAGCTTAGAGAGATCTAGTTTATAAAACCCCTTGTCTTGGCACTTGCTCCAACCAAGGTACATGTACATGTACGAGTCCCTTGAATATGACGACAGATACAAAGAAGAATCCCAAAATATGTATCTCTTTGCTAACACCGCTTCACAATAAATACCAAGCACTTAGAAAGTGGTATGATCTACAGCGCGGTCTCCCTCGGCTGCACAAGAATCTCGTTGACGGCCACGTGCTCTGGCTGCGTGACTGCGTAGAGGACTGCCTGTGCGATGACTTCAGGTTTCAGAATTTGGTAAGGACGAGGGTATGTGTACAGCTGTTTACACTGAAATGATAATAATATATTTTTTGCACGATCTAGGTCACTGGTTTTTATAATGCTTCTTTCAAAGAGAATTTGCTTCATTTATTCTGCAAACAAAACCTTCCCGGAAGCAAATGCCAGCTGGCCGAAATGCCATTTTGATATTTAGGCCTCACAAACAAAATTTGCTGTTAGTGATTTCGAGCCACGGACTTGTAAATTATCTACTAAACCAAAATTCCATGGAAACTATTTTTACTTTATCCTATTCGTTACTATTTTAGACTTGGAATTTCCGAAAGCTTGTCGTGCAGTTTTCGTACTTGAACAGCGAGAGACCAAATCTAAAGCTGACCAAACCGTTTGAAATAAATATTGCGGTCCTCGCAGCAAGTATTTTGACGTTCGCACCATGAAATCGCAGCCCAAGTCTATAATTCGGCGTTCATAATCAAAAACCGCCATTCGCAATCCTAAACGACCAATTTGTCTAAAAGGCCAGGTATTGTTAAGCCTACACTCTGAATATGCACGGTACGAGATATTGATAGTTCTTCGGTTTTCTGAAACCTTCAATTGTCACATGTTTTGTGTACATGTGCTTAATCTACAGTACAGTATGCTGCTTAATCCTCTAGATCCTGTCATGCTTTACACGATATAAACAAAGCAACCTCTGAGGAAACGTATACTTATAAGTGTAGCACAATCACTGGTTATAAAACAAATGCAAATTAACTCGTAACCCTTAATTTAATTTTGACGATAAATTGATGTAGCATGTCATGTACATGTAGATCAATTATCGATTTTTACTTTAAAAGGGGACAATAAGAAATCTTGTGGACATAGTATGTCTTTAAACGTTTTACCTGTTCATCTTCCATTGTCATTAAATACCTGGCGAAACCGGGCGTTTCAACTTCGCCAGGCTGGATACATGTTACACGTACACCATCCTTACAAACTTCTTGACGAAGCGTCCGTGACATCCCCTCTACGAAGAACTTCGACCCTGTGTATACGGCTATCCCTACCAAAGGCTGTAATGTCATAGTAATATATGCAATGGATTAATATGCATTTCAACAGAACTGATCATTAAATTGAAGGTTTGCTGCATGTCTGATCCAAATATGTAAAACGCGTTAAATTTCATATAAAAAATGACAAGTAACTGGGTTTTGAATAGTATGAATTTGATGACAAGGTTCCTTGCACTTTTTGAAGTAAAATTGCTATTGAATGAATAGTTGTAGGTGATTTGATTTGCAGAATGAGGGACGTAAGAACAAACTGATTTACTAAGCAAAATAGGTTTAAGTTAACCAAGTTTGAAACAAAATGATGAAAATCACCAAGGATTATTTTTGCAACTCTGAAAACTGATAGGTCAACAGGCTTTCTGACTGAATCGGAGAGTCCCACTTGCATTTTTCATACAGAAGGGAGAGCTGGCAATTAACTATTACCGTCTTTCCACTTTGTGATGACATGTTGACGATATGACCTCTTTTCCTTTCACACATCCCGGAGATCACAGCCCCAATGCAGTTCAACACTCCCTGAATAAGAAAATTCTGACAGATGCTTTTTGGAAAAATCAAAGATTTTTATACACATTTGAGGATGCTCCAACGACACATCTTTTGTCTAAATGGCCTAAAATGCGTGTCTACGGGTGAACCTTGCCAAGGTAAGACCTTCTAACTAGAAAATTACCATCAAATAAAAGTAGTCTATGTTGGCGTTTCCTTCATGTTAAGCAAGAAAGAAGCATGGATTTCTAAATAAATAATAATTCGCTTGTGTAATTGAAATGGTACAAAACAACCAATCCCATTCTAAGCTTGAGGATTGCCAATAATTGGTGACTGCCAGTACACTCTGGAAACCACGGTGGCCCTACCTTGATGTTCACATCCACTTGCTGATCCCACTCCTCCTCGTGAAGGTTCTTCATACACCTTATCACCCAGATACCCGCATTGTTCACCAAGATATCCACGGGACCCAGGGTGCTTTCTGTGTGCTGAATAAGCTCCTTCACCTGCGCGCAGATATTTAGAATTGTACTCTTTAAGTGCTTGGTTTTAAGATCATTATTATCAATAACAATTTAACCATTTTAAGAATACTTTTAAAAATTTAATTTTAAGGATCCCACTAAATAGGTACAAGGTACAGTATAAGCGTACACCGTAGTCTTACCATTTAAAGAACAACGTTGCTTTCACTTTGAAGAACTGTACCGGAAGATACCGCATAGAACTCGTCGCCTTTCCCTCAAACTCTCGTTAATACCAAACAAATCTTTTTCTCTGTTTTATTTCTTGAAATTATGCAAATATTGCCAAACGCGAATCTTATTGAAAATTTCCTGCCCCAATTCATAACACGACTGGCATCTCATTCATACACAATGCCACACCCTTTTTACCTCAGCTCTGTTCGTTACATCACATCTCACTGCTAGAGCTGCGCCCCCTTCCTTTGAAATTTCATCCTGGATTTTTTTTAACAGGTTCTCCCGCCTTGCTGCCATGGCAACCTTGGCACCAGCAGCAGCCAGTTGACGAGAGATGGCAGCACCAATGCCACTAGAGGCTCCTGTTACCACGGCAACCTTTCCATAAAGAGGTTTGTCATCTGAAAATTGTATTAAATTTTCTGTTTAATGAATAAAACTTATTTCATTAGACAAAGACCACCCTATCAATGTAACAGCTTTCACTGTACTTTATTAAGAACCCGAGTTTAATCTGTAAGTTGACGTGGCAGAAACGAGAAACGTATGTCTTATTAATACTTTACAAATAAACAAAAAGAACTTAATGCAGAACTGAACTTACATAGAAATATTTACGTGAACAACATTTATGAACTAATTATACTTATTTTTATGATTAAACTAAACTTCTAAACAATATAAGGATGAAAAGAAATGACAAGCACTGAAAATATCAAACAAAATAACTTAAAGAAATACAAAATCTTAACACAAAGAAAATGAAAAGCAAACCAATCAAGTCTATCTCACCTGTAAGTTGACGTGGCAGAAACGAGAAACGAATGTGCCGCGTAAGNATATATATATATATATATATATATATATATATATATATATATATATATATATATATATATATATGTTACATCAATATCGGAAAAAGGCAGCACTGCAGAATCTTCGTTTTGTGTTTTTTACTTCCATCCTTCCGGTGACACATTGCCATTTTCTGTAGTTCATGCTACTCAGCTCAACAGCTAGGAATTCCAAGACAGAATTACGTTGAGTTTTGATATTTCTGGCATTAAATAAAGTATAGCACAGGTGCTGAGCTTACGTAATATGCCCCGACTGGATGAAGACTAAAGAAATAGGGGAGATAAATCAGCTTAGCACCTGTGCTTTATTTCATATTACGCATATTTTTGACAAAGGAGGCCAAGGTCGCTGTTCATATTATTTAGGGTACTGTGTGCAATATCAAAAATTCTCAATGTACTTCAGTCTTGTGAGGTTAACCCTCTTAGGCTAACGACTGGCTGAGGCCAATTGAGTAATTTAAATATGTTCCGTAAAACTACCGCCCACTGCAATTGGACAACTAACACACTCAACGCCATCTGCATTTCACTCTGGTTAACTTCTGTTATCATCTGTTTGGTCAAAGCCTTCTAATTTGATATCATTGACTGGCGGCACACCAACTGTTAGAATTGAGCAAATTTAGGGTCGTGAGCAAGCGTATAATGAGTACGGCAGAGAACCTCTATGCACTAGTACATGCATATAGGAGGACCTTGATGAACACGACGTAAAAAACATCATTTGTACTAGTAAAGGAACTTCGAAACTTCTTACTATGATTGGACAATGCGTCCTAGGCACCGCCATGTTTTACCCTACGCGTTGTGCGGGTGTTTGAAACTGAACACCATTCTTGTGCAGCTTTCGTGGAAGGAACTCCGCGGATTCCGGTGGCAAAATACTCCATTATATTAGTTCTGAATCAAACTTCCAGCCGCGTGATGTGGGAGTTAAACAACATCTCTCAGGCTTCAGATAACGGCCTGAAAGCAGACGCGTGATGCAATCCTCAGACGCAAGTCGCGAGTTTTGTACAGTGCGTTGGATAACGAAAAGTCCAGAACTGCACATATTGTAGATATTAATGCATTTTGAGCAATAAGACGAATATATCTTATGAATCTAATATTATTGTTATAAAGTGTTGTTGTTGTCTGCTTTTCGCGCGGTTTTAAGTAGGTCGCCATAAAATCTCGCTCGATATCGCGTGACTATGCAGAGTCAAAGAGGGCTCCGTCAGTTAAAATCTCTTAAGAGATTTTAACAAAAAACCAGTCAACTATAGACCCCATCTACATGTACTTAGACAAAATGTTTTCAACAATGCAATATGAAACACCCATTATAAAAACACGCATAATAATGTGTGACCTAGATAAAGCGATATTCAAACATTGTGAAAATCAAAGTTCTGTTGCACTGATCCGACTGAAAGCGCCTCATGTACTATACATTTTGTAGGCATATCAAAACTACCAGTATAAATTTAACACCTCCGTTTACTTAGGTGGTGCTTGAACTCACCTCTTGTAGACGACTGCATCCTAAAGAATATTGCAATTCAACTTAAATATATGATTTCCTCTGCTAAAATGCAATGCCACGAACCTGCCAGGTCACCCTATTGGGGTTGATAAACACATCATGCGTTGCTTGTAAATCATCGCTAGAGGGCGCTTAAGAACAGCAATCAGAAGTTATATAATTGTAACCAAATTCCCATGTTTTGTCACACGAACAAAGAATTAAGCGCGAACTTGTTGGATTAAAAACAACAATGTGAACGTGATCAGCTTACTTGTATAATAATAATAATAATAATAATAATAATAATAATAATAATAATAATAATAAAATGTATTGAAAATTAATTTGGATATCAATTTCAATTCAATACGTGCATGTATGTATGTATGACTAAGTGCAAGTACAGTATTAAATTACATGTGTATTAAATTACACGTGTTACAAGAATTTAGTAACAAACCGAAGGCGATGTGATCGTTTTGTGCAACACACTTTAAAAGGGTAGAGCAGACGCAAACGTCGCAGCGACCTCACATTATTTTCGGAAATTCATGAGACAAAACCTTAAAGTTACATACGAACCGAGCATCGGTGGAGCGTGGATTCCCAGTAACACATGTAAACCACTTCTACTAGATTCTTATATGACTCAAATAAATTCGACATGCCTAGGGATAAACTGAATAGATCACTCGATCTGCCATAAAAGACCTTTAGACTGCTTCTTTCTTTAAATTTTTGGTTGTAAATTTAACCTACTTCCGTGACCTACTTTCCTGTCCCATTGACATACAGCTTAGAATGCCAGCAGAAAAATCTGTTCAAACATCATTTACGGGTAAAATTAAACAATGCCTTTTGGTAATTCTCTTAGTTATACTACTTGAAACTATATGCTGGCATTTGGTTGGTTTTTGTGACAAAAAATTGACTTTGTATGCATCTTTAATGGTTAAGAAGCAAATATGAAGACCAACTGAATCAGCGAAAATAAGTTAAGAAACTAGATTGAAATGTACCTATGTGGGGAAAATATCAATACGGAAGTAATGCGCTGTCGACAATCCCCGGCACGTACGGAAACTGCCGAACGGATTAAAGGTTTGTGGATTGAAACATATTGCTCGTAGCCAGTAATTTCGCATGAAAGCTTGATTTTAGCCATTAATTTGGACGTTCATGCTCACAAATCTTAGGCTTGAGTTCGAAAACGCACAATTCGTTTTAAAGTCTGATATTACCTGAGCGTTCTCAGTAGGGCACTATTGACAAAACGCTTTCCTTGAGGTCTTAAGTAGAGGATGTGTATTAAGCCACTTATATTTTACCTTGTCTTTACGATAAAGTTTCATATAAAGCGTGCGTGAATTCCAAATGACGCATATACGAATAATTTTAAAACATCTTTACTTTATTAAATTTTATTAGAAAAGCAGAAGACTGACAATTTTAAATCACTTCTAAAGACCCACATTTTAAAATCTGTCTATATATCTTAGATTTTTTATATATTTTAATAAGATTAGTAGTGTTAATTTTAAATGGTTTCCAATGAGTGTTTTAGATTTAAAATTTTAGTCATTTTAACGATTTTAGTTATATTATCCATTATTGTAAGGCGCCATATAAAAAGCTTATAATTATTATCATTAGTAATATTCTTATAGAGCTAAAATAAAGTCGACATGCCAAGTCATAATCCAATGTAACCCCTCGTTCAGCCAAAAAGTAGCTTTTAGGCTCTGTTCTCACAACTTTTAGATCGATCTATCACCGCGGGGAGTCTCACTAGATTACTGTCAGATAATCCCCCTTAAGTGTCCGTCCCCGCCTACTACAAGCTTTGAGGGGTAATTAACTTTCGTGTCCGCCCGGCTGACAGCTATTTAGCGTGAACCCCCAGGGAGTTAGGTCGATCCAATGTAGGTCGATCTAATCTATGAGAATGGGGTGTAAAACTCTACCTTTATCAAATTTCTTGTCGAAAATTGACGAATTTACCTGTCCATCCAGTTTGTAAAATTCTGCTAAAGGACGCAGCACGGCGCGCGCAATGCAGCTGCAAAATCACCACTCCAATGTACCCTTTGCCAGGGTGGCGGATATTGTATGCACATTTTCCACATTTCCAGTTAGGAGATTGACGATATTTAACCAGAGACATAATCTGTGAATATATAGTGAAAATTCAATCCGTGGCCCTGGTAGAGAGTAAGTCTAGGCTTCGTTCACATGGAATGTCTATTTTCTATTCGCGGTATGTCTTATGATCACGGTCTGTGCCCTGAATATCCCGCCGCATAATTACTGGCAGCGCGAGCCAGTTACTTATAGTAACTTATAGTAACTGGCTCGCGCTGCCAGTAATTACGCCA